TTATCACGAAGCCACAAGCAGTCTGCAAACTGCCGACAGTGCAGTCAACCATTCTGCGTAAAGACCGGCGTACATCAGCGATGGGTACTCTCTCCTCTTCTCTTCATCACATTCATGGACTAACAAAAAGTCTCAGCCGACAGCCTCCATGAGCTCTCTTGTATGCAGGCGATGTGGTGTTGATATCAGAGAACAGAAAAGAACTTCATCTCTGCATTTCTGGCGAACGAGGACTTCAAGATGAAATATCCTGCTGGACAAACGCATCCTGAATGAAGTGGAGGAGTTTTATGAACGAATGCCAGTGCAACTCATCCAAATATACCGTACTGTGATCCGTCCCACAGCGCTGTATGGCAGCGAATGTTGGCAAGTACACGAAATAGAAAAAAAACCAGCTTAATGTCATGTAGACAAGAATGCTTAGGTGGACATTGGGTATCACCTGCTAGATCACGTCTTTACTGACACTGTTCGGGCTGGGATGAAAGTTGCTTCCATCATTAAGAAGATGCAGGGAAAGCGACTACGGTGGTACGGGCAGTGAGCAGGAGAGATGAGACCCGCTTCACAAATGTGTCAATTTCTCTGAAGGTCGTTCGAAGAAGACCACGGGTAAGGCCAAAGATGCGTTGGATGAACAGAATCAGAGCTGACATCATAAAGCTTAAGATAGATGAACGTCATGCCTTTAATCGAGAATACTTGAGACGGGTGACTCGTACAGCAGACCCCGCGTAAGCGGGAAAATGCTTTTAAAAAGTGAGCTCTTTTTTAAGTGCGGCTCCAATTATGGCCGACGTTGCAAAACAGATGGTGATCGAAGAACTACGCGAATTGTAGCTTTGAAAGGTGTTCTCTGTTTTCGCTCATTTCGATTTGCAAGTATAAGGTATTAGATACTCGTGCTCAATTCGCTTTCGAGAACACGCTCATTTCGTTGATTGGCTCGAAGGTGGACAACTCAAGTTTTTTTTGCTCTAGAAAAAGCGGAATTCAAGTCTGCCAACTTGAAATTAGGCACATACAGCACACATTAGTGTTCATTTTGACCAAGATGAATCACATCGGTTTTGGTGAAGAGTTTCAACGAGCTTATGCCAAGAGTGGATGCTTGCTCCAACTTCTGCAGGGAGTCTGGTTACTACATCACACAAATAAGATTCCGTGACGAAGTCCAACTAGCCAAAGCTTGGTTTTATTCAGCTGCCAATTCGGCGATGTTTTTCTTGTTGGAAAAAACCACAAAGACAGACGAACAATGTTCTTTATTTGGTGATTAATTCCCAACAATCTTTCTTCCTCGTCTTTCTCTGGAATTTTGAGATGTAAATTTAAGGTAGTAGTCAGCTCAAAAGTTAAGCTAACAACATCGTTCTATCGTAGTTAGTATATGGACTCGTCTTGAAATGACGATCAAAGTATGAGGATAACTGCGAGGTGGTAGTTCATGTGAAGAGGGAATTGTTGCAAAACTAGTGAACCTAGAGGGATAGAATCTGCATTGGAGCGCACCTGCCTTAGCGCCTAAAAATTAAAGGTGATTCTGCGAGATATGATATCTGC